TTCAAGCATATGCATGGAAGGAGAGTGCACATCGGCAACACATTTCAGTAACGCGCTTCAGTAACATGCGTCAATGATTCTCATCACTGCGGTACACCATCACATCAACGAACAGCAACCACCTTGCCTATACATCAAGGTTACACGCCAAACGCATGCGCCAACAGCAGACACAACTAACACACACCACGACCATACGTTAAGTGCAGACGTGCAGAACACAACGATACTACATGCATGAAACGCATACGCCAATAATGTGCACCGACACCAAGAGCATCAAGCAAATGCGGCAGTACCGTACACCAGCAACACATTGCATGATCGTAGGTCCCCATGAGGTAACAAACACCGATGCGCTTACTCCAATGACACGCATACATTACATACATTCTGGCCAGGGCACGTCAAGGGCGTACAGTAAGCACACACATAGAGCGCACATCAATCACATGTGTGAAGAGACGCGCACACGTTTGCTGGATAAACACATTTTGTTCTACATTTAGGGGGTTTGAAGGTATTTAGGGCATTTAGGGTATTTGGGATATGTAGGGTGTTTAGGGTGCACATACATGGTCAGCACGCACCGGTGAAGCTTACGTATCACACGCACGTGTCATCTATGAGTATTTTGCACGCGCACCAGTGGCACATACCAATTCGTAGAACCCGCGCGCACATATGTGTATATCTTTATACATATACGTAGATATATTCGCAAACGTACCACGCATGCATACCGTGCACGCAAAGCACACGTGCACACGCACACACACACACACTAGGTGTGCGCACCGCGCACATGGAAATGAATTCATCAGGTGTGCATACGTGGAACGCACATAGCGTACGGAAGTACCACACATACACACATCAGACACTTTACACAACGTAGACACATAGCATACACGCACACCACACATACGAAACGGGCTGAGGCCGTATGCATACGTATACATGTATCAACATGCACACATACACTACTTACACATAACAGCGTGTACGTCACGTAGAGAAACCTGATGGCGCCACGCCGTCCACATACATCTAGAATCGGCATGCAGAGCAGGCACCACCTACCAGCACACACGACACATGCAACACAGGAATCAGTCCCATACATCCAGCACGGACACACATGACGCGCGCGTGTTAATACTATGAGCAAAAATTGGCGCCAACGTCACGCATCAATAAATTGAGCCAATAACGCACACCTGTAACATACAGTCCCAACACGTACACCAATGACACGCGTCATTGCAACGTAACCAATTCCATATGCCCATGTTACTTGAAGCCAATACCCAGCAAGGTGCATCAGTGACGCACGCTAATCGCACGCCCTAGGATGAGACGCTGACAACATATATCAGCAACATGCACCAACAGCTAACATCAATGACAGACACGGCGCCAACAACCTCGAACGAACACAGACACCAATAACGTACAGTAGTCGCGTATACCGCACATAATATAATCTTACTTATCCAGCGTTTACACAACGACCGCGCATTGATAATAGACACGGGTACGATCTACCCGTGCTTTCCACCAGGAGCATATGTTAGGCATTGACGCCAACGTTGTGTGTCAAACACCAATTGCATACACCAAGAGCATATTCCCAATACACGCATACGCTACATACAACAATCGCACACATATATCTCAAACTAATGTTGTTCAAGAGGCTGACTCCAGGATGACGACATCTGTGAATTCGAGCGTTTTGTGCGCCTTCCAGGTTTTTCGTTCGACTTTTACCAAGTTCGCTCACAGTAGTGGCGCAGCAGATGGCAACCAGGGTGGGAGAGTGGCGGGCCAGCTTTGGCAACGTGGCGCCGCTGGATGGCGCCATCTTTGGCGCGGCCTGACACGATGGGTGCGATCGCACACGGCCTACAGAACCCGCACCGCGATCACGGCTGGACTGACGACCCCCATGAAGTAGCCATTGGTGGATCGGTGTTCGCATCCCACGGCGTGTGGACGGTGGGCGCGCCGTCCGAGCGAGGCGGGGCTCCTCGGTCGATTGCCAAGACCTCGCGCGAGGCGGAGGACCTCGGCATGCCCGCGGATCGGGGGCCCAGCGGCCGACCAGGCATCTCAGCATGCCGACCCAACCTCTTGGCGTACACTTTGGTAGTCCAAGTTCGGACGCAGCCCTCAACACGTCGCGCGCACTCGCGCGAACGAGGCTAGGCTCCCGTCGTCGCCGATCGGACCTTCGCCGGCTCCGTGCGGCGCCCATGCGTGGGCGCGTGCGCCCTCGGGCCTGTCCACGTGGCGCCAGTGCCGGGCCGACGTGATGGGGGCAGCCCCTTCTCGCTCCGCCATGTGGCCTGGGTTAAAGTCGCGGGCGCAGCAGCAGGCCTGGCTTGGCAGCGCATGGGGTTCTTCCACCAAAGCTGGCCGCTGAGATTTGCGATGGCTTTCTTGTCAATCGTCTATCCTACGGTGGAGACCCATATCAAAGAGCACCCTGCTTGCCTCCGGAATGCCCTGGGTTTCTTGGGTTTCGATGGTTTTGCTGTGGAAAGCGCGACGTTCCCACACCAAAAATCAGCGGACGTCCTGGGGTCTCAGGGTTGGGTTTCTTGTGGAAGGTTTTTTGTGGATTGGCCTCCACTGTACATTTAGGGCGAATACGTTGCCAGGTCTGAGGGTCATCGAGCCCGCCGAGCGGCAATTCCAGGGAGCGTGCGCGGCGATGCATAGCCGAGGGTGCGACAGCATTGGGGCGGGCGTGTTCGTGGTGGTTGGTCAATCCGGGCATGCCTGCACGACAACTGCTACTGATGCCCACGTTGCCGCAATTCGTGCCCGCGCGAAAGACGAACCCGACCTTGCCGTCGCGATCGCGAGGGCAGCCGACGCGAACGTGGGGCACGTGCGTTGCGAGAGCTAGCAGTGCTGCGACCGTGCCCACACCAAGCGTCTCGCCGCGTGGATCACGCCGCTGTCACAGCCGGCTGCGCTGCCCAGATTGCGGCCGCGGACAAGAAGGGGGGGGGGCGGCTCTCGCTGCGCTGGAGGTCAAGGAAGCATCGGCGATGCATTGGCGACGCGGCGCCATGCTCCGACCCCATCTGCAGCCAACCCGCATAGTAAGGATGAGCAGCTTTCCAAGGCTACCTTTGCATGCTTCCCTTTCGGCCCATCCTTGGCCGCTTTCGCTGGCCGCGCCCCGCCCCCAAAGTGTCGACGTGGCCTTCCAAGGCCCTTGCATCCTCATCGTGCATCCCTATTATACGGATTGACTGTACTCCGACCTCATCTGGGAGGCCTCTAACTTCTTGACGCAAGTTCGCAAATGTAGAGCCTCGGCGTGATGTGAGCGAGAGTGGGCCCGCTGTGGACGTTCGAGGCTCAACGCCGCCGTCGCCCCGAACCAGACCATCTGGAACGACTTGGCGATCGAAGAACAGCCGATCGTTCAAGGCTGAACGAGCCTCGCGGTGTCGGAAGCCAACGCCAAGGGTCGTGACGACACTCGGACGGGGCTAGTTCGAGGATGATTCCGTTCCAGAGCGTGCCGGAACGCTCAGCGTGCCGGAGCGCTCTCAGAGCGTGCTGGAACGCTCTGAGAAGGCCGCGGCGCCCGAGACATTCTCCGGAGCCGCCGGGTCTCAGAGATTTCGGAGGTTGATAGACCTCCTGCCTTGACACGTCGATTAGGGAATCGGCCGTTTTCGGTTCGCGGGAGGGCGTCGCGGCCGTCATTTTCACGGTTCCAGGTCCGTCGGTTTCGGTCCTAGGCCGTTTTCATTAAAGGGAGGTTTACTACAGGGAGGTTTGTCCACCGCCGAATATTCTTGATTTATCCACCTCCGACTTTATCCCCATACTGGCTTCGTCTTAGGCGCACTCTTGCCGCAGGGCTGACTGCACACCCGCGCCCTGCAGAGGCCCGCACATCCGGCAGGCCCGCCGCAGTGGCTCTGGCTCGCGCGCGCGCAGGCCCCGCAGCAGTGGGCCACGTGAGGGGTGCCCTGGAGGCCGCGGGGGCCTCCTCGGAAGTGCTGGGGGGTATCTTGGGCCAGGGCAGCATCCGAACTGAAGTGTGCAGAGTTAGGGGAACAAAAAAGTGACATTAACATAAAAACTCGGAGGTCCGCGCGGAGTTCTCGGATCGGCGCTGGACCCCCCTCCCTGGCGCGCGGAGCGCGCCAGGGGCGGCGCCGGAGGCGCCGCCGGGGGGCCCCCGCGCGGATCCGAGAAATCCGCGCGGACCTCCGAGTTTTTATGTTTACGCCACTTTTTTGTTCCCCTGAGAGTGGCATCGGGGGGGGGGGCTTCGAGGCTCGAGGCTCGGAGTGTGCGGGCGCTTTCGTGTAGGTCATCGGTGGCTTCTCAGCCTCGGGGTGCCTGCCCGTGGCTGCGTCCCGCCGAGGGCGCTCCAGGGGTGCCTGGATTGTCCGGAAGGGCCGCCAGAGTTATGTCGGGCGTGTCCCCCTGCAGGGAGATTTTCGACGAAACATAAAGAATACCCCCAAAATACCCCCAAAGGGTCAAAAAATATTTGAAAAATAGTCCCCAGACTATTTTTTTTTGACCTTTTTTTTAATTTTTTTAGGGGTATTTCTTATTTTTTGTCGAAAATCCCCCTGTAGGGGGACATGCCCGACGTAAGGCTGCGCCCCGCCGGGGGCGTTCCAGGGGTGCCTGGATCGTCCAGAAGGGCCGCCAGAGGCCCGAGTCAGGGCTTGCAAGCTGCCAGGGGCAGTCTCAGCGACCCACGGCAGGAGCCACCAAACCACACCAACCCAACCCGAAGGCCCCAATTTACCCTCGATTTCCAGTGGGGGGGGGTCGGGAAACATCGAAAAAACACATGTGGAACCCTTACCCCCCCCAACCCGAAATTCGGGTCTTCGGGTTGGGTTGGGGTGGTCTGGTAGGTAGTCACCACGGCAGGAGCCACGAGTGTCCTTGCTGTCCAGAGCACGCGTCCCTCAGGGTGCACAGCTTTCTTGCCTGCTCGCGCCCAGCCAGGGCCTGGGCTGCGCCTCCACGTTCGACTGCAAGACGGACCTGTCCCACGCCGCCTCGTGGCCCGACGAGCAGAAGATGTATTGCTGCGAGAACGAGGCCGACGGAAGAAGCACTGTGACCGTGACCAAAGCGTCGCTGGATCTCGCCGACGCCGACCTTTGTCATGGTCCATACCGGCCGTCGCCGACTCGTGAGGTTGATCCACGAGTCGGCGATGATCAAGATGGACGATGACAAGTATCGACACCGACGTTTCCGCGTCGCGTCTTGGTCATGATCCTCGTTCTCTTCCCTTGGAAGATATACCGACACCGCTGCTCGTCCTTGAGAGCCCTCGTCGCCACGCCCGCATTCGCCTCGACATTTTGGTCAGGACGCGCTCGGGGAGAGGCCCTGGGAGTAGCGGCATCTTTCGGTAACACATATACCATGGGAGGTTTGTATGTTTTCGAAATTCCTTATTTCGAATGCACTAGCGTGCGCCAGTATGTAATCGGTGAAGAAAGTGCAGACTTGGCGTCGGATTAGCGTCACTTTAGCGACGACGAGTGCCGACTGGCGTCCTGCAGTGTCGCTTAGCGTCGATTCGACAGAGCCAGCCGGACGGCACGGGAGGAGCGTCGGCGCATTTTGGCCTCCTCCGCGAGGGCCGCGCCTGCGACGTGGGCGGGGCGGAGCTCCTGGCCCAGCAGGCCTCGTGAGCGGCGAACCTGGCTCACCACCCACCAAACCACCCCAACCCAACCCGAAGGCTCAGATTTACCCTCGATTTCTAGTGGGGGGGGGGGTCCGGGAACATCGGAAAAACACATATGGAGCCCATACCCCCCTCAACCCGAAATTCGGGTCTTCGGGTTGGGTTGGGGTGGTCTGGTAGGTAGTCACTGGCAGCATCCGGCGCCCCCGCGGTCTGGGCTCCGAGCGGGCGCGGCTCCGCGGACGGGCGGCCGCGGAGCCGCAGCCCTGCGCGGGGCGTGCCCGCGCGGGCACGCCCCGCGTCCGCGGGGCCGCGGCCTCTCGGGGCCAGGCCCGCGAGGCCGCGGCTACGGTTGAGTCGGGCATGTCCCTCTGCAACAGGAGTGCTCAAGAGTGGCCAACACATGAGATATCTGGGGACGACTTTTCGATTCTGCTCCAGCTGTTTTGGAGTGTTTTGTGGCTATTTGTTGGTGTTCACCCAAAATTTGGCGGCGCGCAGAGGGGGGTAGGGGGAGGGGGAAGGCTTCTCAGAAGCACCGCTGCCTCTTAGAAGGCGCGGGCCTTCTCTGCAGATGTCAGGCCGGCGCCTTCTGAGAAGCAGCCTCCTCCTAAGAAGCCTTCCCCCCTCCCCCTGCCCCCCTCTGCTCGCCGCCACAAAATCGTAGGGGGACATGCCCGACCTGCAGCCACGGGCCTGCCTTCCCCGGAGGCGGGCCCAGGGCGGCAGGCCGCGGGGGCGGGCCTCCCCTCAGAGCATGCTCGGACGGCCACCGGCCTTCCTGCGAAGATGAAGGGGGCCCTGGGACACACAAACAAATACTGACAAATAAACATATCCCCGATATTTTCATATTGAATCGCTTCGCTCATTCCGCCGGCCCGTGATATGGCATCGCTGGTTTTTGTCTGTGTGTTCGTTGCCCATGTTGCGCTCTTGGGGGCGGGTGTCGTTCGGACGCGTTGCGTGGGGAGTTTTGATGGTGAAGCAGTTCCCTGGGGGTCGTCTCTCGATGGGGCGAAATAGAGTCGTCGTCAAGATGCTTCTTTGGGGGGCCTCTTGGGGTCTGTTGAGAGGCCGTTCGGGGGCGCCTGGGAGACATGTTTGAAGCCTTCTGGGGCTTCTTTTGGGCCTCCTGGGAGTCTCCTGGGGCCTCTTGGCGACATCTTGGGGCCTCTTGGAGGCCTCTTGGGGCCTCTTTGGGACCTCCTGGGCGCCTTCTGGGACGGAGGGCTCCATTTTTGAGTTCTCGGTATCCCTCCTGAGTCCCTCTTGGGCCCGTCTTGGGGCCTCTTGGTCCGTCTTGGGCGGCACTTGGGCCGTCTTGAGGGCTCTCTTGGGTCGTTTCGGCGCCGTCTTGGGAGCTTCGTGGGCCGTCTTGGAGCGGTCTTGGGGGCCTCTTGGGCCGTCTTGGAGCGTCCGGAAGCCGAAAAAGCCAGAACACAAAAAACATCGCAAAAAACCAATGGAAATCAACGATTTTGGCCTCTTGGGGCTCTCTTCGGAGGCCTCTTGGAAGGCTCTGGGGCGTCTTGGAGGCCTCTTGGGCTGTCTTGGGGGCCTTTTGGGCCGTCTTGGGGTCATCTTCGGCGTCTTGGAGCGCTCTTTGGGCGTCTCGGGGGCCTCTTGGGCAGTCTTGGGGGCCTCTTGGGGCACTCTGAGCGCGCTCTGGGGAGCCTGAGAGGCCGCACCCAGAAGGAAAACCATCTCACATATCCCCGATATTTTCATATTTTTTCTGGGTTTTTGTCTTCCCGCCCAGTTCCCATATTTTCTTATATTTTCTTGGGAATCGACGATTAATTGTGTTTGTGTGTTTTTTTTTTCCTCCTGAGATCTCCGGGTCTTCTCCGCAGATGGGGGCGGTCTCTCAGAAGGCCGGAGGGCTTCCGAGCAGCCCCGCCGCTTTCTGAGAAGGCCTTCCCCCGCCAGGGTCCATTTCGAGCCGATCGATCCGATTCGACGCCCATTCCAGCCGGCCCGATCCGCTTCGATTCCGATGTTCTTCCGATCCGATTCATCCCGACGCTTGCATGGTGCTGCTGTGCGTCCTGGCCCGGCCGAGCCCATTCGATTCCGACTCGGTGCCGATGCGGCCCAGTAAGGGCCCTGTCCCGAGGCCCGGGAAGGGCGCCTCCAGAGGCCGAAAATAGCGAACAACCTCTCGTCGTGATTTTTGCACAACGCGAGGGGATCTGCCCCTGCTCCACCGTCTACACCGTCCCGGAGTCCTGAGCGGGTTTCGGTCGAGGGCGGACGGCGGACGGCGCATGACGGACGACGCCGACGCCAACGCCGACGCCGACGGCGAACGACGACGATGTCCAGGGGAGGCGAGACGCCGAACGACGACGATGTCGATGGGAGGCGAAGAAGAGGAGGAGGAGGAGGAGGAGGAGGAGGAAAAGGAGGAAGAGGAGGAGGAGGCCGAGGCTGAGGAAGAGGCGGAGAAGGAGGAGGCGAGGAGGAGGAGGAGGAGGCGGAGGTGGAGGATGAGGAGGATGAGGAGGATGATGATGATGAGGAGGAGGAGGAGGAGGAGGAGGAGGAGGAGGAGGAGGAGGAGGAGGCAGAGGAGGAAGAGGAGGAGGAGGAGGAGGAGAAGGAGGAGGAGGCAGAGGATGATGATGATGATGATGATGATGATGATGATGATGATGATGATGATGATGATGATGATGATGATGATGATGATGATGATGATGATGATGAGATGAGGAGGATGATGATGATGAGGATGAGGATGAGGATGAGGATGAGGATGAGGATGAGGAGGATGAGGATGAGGATGAGGATGAGGAGGAGGAGGAGGAGGAGGAAAAGGAGGAGGAAGAGGAGGCGGAGGCTGAGGAAGATGCCGAGGCTGAGGAAATGTCGGAGGAGGAGGAGGCGGAGGAGGAGGAGGCGGAGGAGGAGGAAGAGGAGGAGGATGAGGCAAAGGAGGAGGAGGAGGCAGAGGCAGAGGCAGAGGCAGAGGAGGAGGAGGCAGAGGCAGACGAGGCGGAGGAGGAGGAGGAGGAGGAGGAGGAGGAGGAGGAGGAGGAGGAGGAGGGGAGGAGGCAGACGAGGAGGAGGAGGAGGAGGGAGGAGGAGGAGGAGGAGGAAGAGGAGGAGGAGGAGGAGGAGGAGGAGGAGGAGGAGGAGGAGGAGGAGGACTTTCTTCACAACGCGAGGGGGTCTGGGAAGGCCGTGGCCCTGGCTGGGGGCGCGCCTCCGCCGGGCGCGCGCGCGAGCAGCGACGCCATCACGCCGGGCGGCGGGTCCCCGGCGGAGCACCCCGCGCCGCCCCCCGAGCGGCCGGAGCCGGAGGCGCAGCCCGCGGTCGGGGCCGGCGGAGGCGGCGGGGAGGAGGCCCCCGCGGTGTGAACAGGGGCAACGTCCCCAGACGTGATCGTGTCGTATATATATATATATATATATATATATATATATATATCCCAGTGCGACCCTACCTGGGAGTTAGAGGATCTAGGAAAGCAGCATCTATATCTCTAAACCGACAGCTGCATCAACGTCTACACCTGCACCTAAACATCCACGGGGATCCGCGGGGCGGATGCCGGGGGAACCGCCCGGGGCGCTTTGCACTGCCCGGCCCTTTCAGCTTGCCGAGTAAGAATCCTTCTAGGCATAGCCTAGGTAGGGAATGAGGACGGGAGGTTTTTAGCCATTTTCGGCCCCGGGGGGCCCTCGCCGGGCCGCGGGACTGTCAAAGAACGACTCTGGACGAAGAACCGATCTCGGGGAAAGGGTCGTGACTCCCAGGGACGCCGTCCTGAAAAAAACAGGACGTCGCATGTCTGGGTGTGTTTGCCCACTTAATTATCCAGGGCTCATGGCGATTCCCGCGATGTTATGCGATTCGATGTCCATGGATGCCGGTTCCGATTCGCTTCGACCTCGGATGACGAGGCCCCCGCGGTGTGTTCAGGGGCTCGAAGGAGAACAAACCGGCATAAGAATGAACTTTCGGCGCTCCGCGCGGAGTTCTTGGATTCTCGCTGGGCCTCCTGTGGTCGGCGCCTCGGGCGCCGCCCCTGGCTCCGCGCGCCAGGGAGGCGGGTCCAGCGCAGATCAAAGAAAACCGCGCAGAACGTTTATGCCGTTTTTTCTTCGTCTAGGGGCAACGTCAGGGGCGTTGTGTTTTCCCACCTGTGCCAGTCACCCCCTTATCCAGCGGGCGAAGAACGGTATAACATAATTTGTTCCGCCGTCGGGGACGCCTGCCCCCTGGGCGGCTGGAGAGTTTAGACCCCTAGAGTGCCACGCAGGGGTATAAACTTTGCAGCCGCCCGGGGAGGGGCGCCCTCGACGGCGAAGTAGTTTTTGTTATACCGCTCTGCGCGCGTTTACAATCGTCGCCCTTAAGTGCTTCTTATGTAGGGCCAGCGCCTTCTGAGAAGCAGCCTCCCTCTAAGGAGCCTTCCCCCCTCCCCCTCCCTCCCCTTCTCCTCCTCCTCCTGCTCCTCCTCCTCCTCCTCCTCCTCAGCCAGCTCGGCCCAGATCGGTTGTGGCCTGGCCGACCCCCACCACTCACGTTCTATCATTACCATATGTCACACACATGTCGCTGAGGTGGTCCAGCTTCTTGCGGCTTGCTTGCACATCCATGGCTTGCTGTCCTATCACGGTTGGTTCTTTCAATCCTATGCAGTCGTCTTCCCTGGACAGGTTGACAGATATTGCTTCTCGGACGGCGAATTTCGACGGCATCGCCCTTGTCGGAACCCGCAGCAAGGCTACTCGAGACACCTCACTACGCAAGAGGTGCGTTGGCAATCGAGTCTTCATCGAGGCGGGGTGGACAGGGGGCGAGTTGACTAACATGCATGCGGGTGTATCGATTATGTGGGTATCCCGCAGCAAGGTTGAGCATTTGATACGTACAGACTGCACTCCTTCATTGATTGGTGGGCGCGGACTTCTATGTCGTGCTCGCTCTGGTAGATCTGATGTGACTATCGTGGCATTGTATTTCCCTCCGAAGCCCAAGTACTCTCATGAATGGATTCGCTATCGGCGCACGGTCGATGAGATTATCTCATGGATTGCGCCCCGCCTGGCTTCGTTACCTCAGCGGACTACGCCGCTGGTGTGTGCGGACGTCAACGACGGGATGGGGCTTGTGCAGGTGAACGGTACTTGGGTATACGATGAGCTCTCAGTTGTGGATCCCGCGGTGGCCACCAAGGACGTGTGTGCTGGTGTGGAGCTGGCGCATATTCTTTCTCTTCATGGCTTGCAGGTGGCCAGCAGCTCTCGTGGTTTCAGTCCTACGTATTATGGACCTCGTGGGGAAACGAGATGGATTGATATTGTTGCCGCCCCCGCGGCGCTGGTTCAGCATTGTCGCAGTGCGGGGCCTCTTCGTCGTCTGAGCCGAGAGTTGCAGTACGTTCGTCGCAAGGCTGTCTCAGACCATCTATTTATCCATATGGCTTTTGATTATGTCTTGGGTCCACAGGTGGTGAGTATTGCTCCTGCCAGACCAAGTTGGAACCTCGACAAGCTCATGCTCGCGCTGCGCAGAGGCAAAGGCCGCAGAGGCTTCCTCGAGGCTGTGGAGTCGCGCATCACTCAGGAACTCAGGACAATGATCTGTGCGAGCGACTCCTTGCTTTTCCTACAGCCGATCAGGCTTTCGATTATCTGAATGATTTGCTGATTCAGGAGGGGCAGCGCTTCTTTTGGGCCGAGGCCCGTGTTCGCAATCCACTCGCTGAGGAGCGTCGCGAGCTCCTACGGCGACGGCGCGAGCTTCGAATGGGGCTAGCAGAAGCGGAGGATGAGGGGGAGGAGGCTTGCATTGTGCAGCAGCTGGTGGAACTGACGAGGGAGACCGGGAAGAGGCTCATGCGGGAGGCGAGGGAGCGGGGGCAGCAGAGGGTGGAGGAGATCAACGAACTCTGGCGTGATCGACGCCTGGCGGAGGCCTCTCGTCTGTGCCGCCAGGGGGGCCGCTTCGGGCCGAAGCGGCGTGACTATCATGCGGTGCGGGGTGTCGTAGCTAGTGCTGCTGAGCTCGCGGCCGATTTCTCGCGACCTGGAGCTGATGGAGGGATGGGGGCTCAGATTCCAAGCTGGGAGGGATGGGGGGATTTCCTCCTGTCGCGCGCCTTGCCGCATGCCAGCCGCCCTCGTATGGGGAGCGCAAGGCGGCTAGTCAAGAGTTTCAAGGTATCAGACGTGCCGTTCTTAAAGGCGGGCAAAAGGCGAGCTGGGCCTTCGTGGGCTCCGCCTCTTGAGTTGTGGTGGCTGGTCCTACGCCCCCTCAAGCGCGCCGAGACTAAGACTATGGGTCTCGGTGCTGAGCTTGAGGGATTGCGACTTCCTGAGTTTCAGAAGTTCTTCTTTGGGAGTCTCGCGCGTATCCGAAGTTGTGGATGGGCTCCTATTCGTTGGCATTGTAGCGAAGGGGCTCCTTTACCACGGCCTGATGGAAAAACGAAATGGATTCACCTCCTGGATCCAATGGGGAAGTTGTTTATGACCAGTTTGATGTATCAACGGGGGCCGGGCCAACTTGGAGATTGTGACCATGGTTTCGCCCCCCGCCACAGGAGGGGGGAGGCTCAGCTTGTGCTGAATACTAGTGGGTCTCACCTCTGGCGCGGTGGAATCTGGCATATTACCAGCGCTCACGTCTTGGCGAACGCGTTCAGCTCTAGCGATTGGGACTCTATGCGAGCGGCAATCCCATGTATGTTCTGGCCTGGGTCCTTGGACTTCGGGGGGCAACGATGCCGCTGGGCCGTCGTGCAACTTCGGGGGTCTGATGAGCAGGCGGTTCTTCGACCGAGCAATGGGGGGCTCATGGGAGATGGGTTTGCCGTTCGTTCCTCTGTCCACACTTTCGAGCCAGCAGTGGAGCGCTGGCGCGCTGCTCAGCATGAATGGGATCGACGCTCTCGTTTTTTGCACATCTGCTGCCCCGTATCTGGCACGATCCAGGATCTGTCTTTGACTAAGTATGCTGATGATCTTACTAAGAAGTTGGTGGGAGGGAGGTTTATTACCCTACGAGAACTTATCGAACTCAGTCGTCGTAGCAATACTGATCTAGATAAGTCTCTCTCTCTGGATGGGTATAAGCAGAACATTGGCAAGCAGGGCGCCCTGGTATGTATGGTGGGACGGGGGTCTTCGGAGACGCTTCGGCTTTTGCGAGAAGGTGCCCTTGCCTTCCCTGGGCGTGCCTCTCAGGTGATCAAGTCCCTGGGCTTTCAAGTTAGTGCTCGGCCTCATAAATGTGCCGTCGGGTTAAAAGCGAGATGTAAAGCAATGCAGTCTGGGCTTGATTCGTTGGGGCGTTTCTGGCATCTCCCTGGGGTGCCGCATCGATTACGACGTTGTTTTTTCTTGAGCAAGGTTTAAGATGCTGGGCTTTTTTTCTGGTATTGAGGCATATGTTCCGACGGGTGCAGAGTGTCGGCGGCTGACGAACCATGTTGCCTTCTGTGCTCGGCGAGCTATGCGGGGTGAAGCCTTTGATCCGCGCGCCGACCGGCATCCACGTTCTTTTTCGAATTCTGAAGTGTTGGCCTACTGGAGGCTTGTCTCTCCCGAGCTGGAAGCTCGGATCAGGCGTCTACGTCTCCTGCAGGAACTTGTGCGGCGCCCGCAGTTTCACAGACAAGTTATCGCTGCGCTATTCGCTGCAGTTGACTGTAAATCCTCGATCAATCCTAGCGGGCTCATGAGTGCTGAGGCTCATCCCTGGGTGCGTATGTACTGGGAAGATGTAGAGGCCTTGGGAGTGCTCGGTGAGGGCCCTGATCTACTAGGTGCACTTGGGAAGGTTCGTGGAGTTGTTTAGAGACGAGGAGGTGGGGGAACTATTCTTACGTATTGATTTGCGCGAACTTCGGAGTAAATCTCTAACAGTATGTATACCCCCTCCTGGCCATATTCCTGGACCTGAACTTATGCTGGCTTCAAGCGTGATTGAGATCGGGCAACAGTTTCAATGCATGATGTGTGATGGTGGTAACGTGGTCTGTGGTGCTATTCTACCTGACAGGCGCGCTGTACATGCACATATTATTGCTCGGCGTGGATATCAGTCCTTATCGAGTGTATTGGGCGTCTCTAATCAATGTTGTGTGTGCTTGGCGACGTTCGCTTCCAGGGTCATGTGTCGTCGACGTCTTCGAGATTTGCTCGCGCTTGGATATTGCAGTGACATGACTGTTCGTAATCTTCAGCCAGTTTGTTTGCCATCGTCGTATCAATGCCCGCTGTGCGTGTATTATGGCCGCAGCTTTGTGGCGTCTCGTTTACGTTCGCATCTTGATCCTCTGCCAGAGCCGCGTCCACCCTGGCTTCGACGTCGGGGGGCCCATGCCCATGGACAAGCGCCCCGCGTGGATGCTGGCGCCGCCCACGGAGACGGAGGGAGGCGAAGAGGCCGTTCGTCTGGCGAAGCAGGCCAGGCATGTGGACGCGGCGAAGGCCAAGGGCGGCGACGCGCTGAAGCAGCTCGTCATCATCCGGACGAAACTATCGCTCACGAGTGCCGCCAGGTTGAGAGACATATGCGGGGTGTTTTTTTACGCGTTTCTGATGCCAGTGGATGCGGCCGCGGCAGTGTGCCAAAGCAGCAGGCGTCCAGTACCACAACAAAGTGCAGAAGCTCAAGGAAGAGGACGGCGACGTGTCGTCGATGGGCCCGCCGTTTCTTCAGGTGTGGGTGGCCCTGATCTCGGCAGCAGGTCAAGACAGCAAGTGCCCCGCGGACGGCAAGAAGTGCTTCGAGGAATACTGGAACGACGTAGTCCTAGTGAAGCCTCTACAGGATTTGGCCGACCAAGTCCGCGCGTGCAGGATCAGGGCCACCAGAAAGCATGAGTCCAACGCAGATCGTTTCAGGCTCACTTTCGCAGTGGACCACAAGTATCAGCAGCTCGAGAATCATCTCGTGCAGTGCCTGAAGGCGGTGGGGGGAGAGCGGAAGGTAGGGGCAGCCCCGCGTGGGGCCCTCGAGAGGGATGCGGCCAAGTTGCTCGATCGTATCATGAAGTAGGCCGCTCCCATGAGTTTGGAAGAATAGTGAGTGGTAGCAGTACTGTGCAGCAGTGTGGGATGGGTGAGGTGGGTGGAGCTCGGGTCGGGGAGGGAGGGGGCGCAGCCGAGAGGCGTGCGGCTGCGGCCGCGCACGCCCGTGTCGTGGCCACGATCGCCCGAGAAGTTGCGAGACGGCCGATGCTGGCCCAGTCTGCTCGCTTGCGCGAGCTCGCGGCTTGGGGGGCCCTCGCTCCCTCTCGTTCTCTCCCGAGTGTTGCTGCTGCTGTCTCTTCCTCTTCGGGGCCCCCCCAGCTGTTCCGTTTTTCAGAGAATCGAGCCCTGGAAGGAGTCCCAGGGGACCCTCGCAGGTTTATTGCGCGGGGGCGGACGGTTTCAATGCCCAAGTCTCGGGCGAAAGCCATGTCCGAGTCCAGGTATTTTTTTTCGTTGCAATTTTGATCGGGTCCGAAGTTGGCCATTAGTCTGTGAGTGTTAGCCGTGCCGCCGCCCCCCTCGAGCGCGTATGCCCGCGCTCGGACTGAGCACTCGGCCGTGCCCGAAGAGGTTGGATGCCGAGTGAAGCTGCCTGCAAGGGCCACTCAGGGGCCAACTTTTTGTTTGTGAGGCGTTGACTCACGGATCGGCCCCCTAGAGCTCGTTCGTTCGTTCCTCCTCCTCCTCCTCCTCCTCCGCCGCCTCCTCCCCCACCCCTCTGCGCGCCGCCAAAAGCGTCAGGGGGGCGCGGGCTCAGACGGGGGCCGGGTTCGAGGGTCTGGGTTCGAGGCGTTTTTTTTATGATATATATATATATATATATATATTGGTCAGTGTCTCTCGCCCCTCACCTGTGCTTCGCTCATATCTCCTGAAAATATTTAGAGGAGGACGAGGAGGAGGAGGTGGAGGAGGAGGAGGAGGAGGACGGGGGCGTCAATAAAGTCGTCGTCGTCGTCGTCGTCGCGCTCGTCGTCTGCGCGGACTCGCTCTCGCACCCAGATGCTCGCAGACAGAATTCCGCAGCGAGACGGAACAAGAGTATGAGATGCACACATGGGGATCTCCGCGTCGATGCTGGCATTATTGTTAGTACTACTGTTACTATCATTAATATGAGTACTGTTATGGTTATTGTTCGTATAATTCAACGTAGTTTTAGTATTCGCATTCTGATTATTCGTAGGTTTTCATCATTCGTAGTCGTATGCTTATGATTACTATCATTACTATTTTATTATAGGTATGCGTATCATTACCAACTTTATAATTGTCGCTTGACTTTGTTAAGTATCATTTGTTATTCATGTATTTCTGTATTTATTATTCGTATAATTCCCATTTTTTATTATTAGTATTCTTATTACGATGACTATGATTATGAGTATGAGTAGTAGTAGTAGTAGTAGTAGTAGTAGTAGTAGTAGTAGTAGTAGTAGTAGTAGTAGTAGTAGTAGTAGTAGTAGTAGTAGTAGTAGTAGTAGTAGTAGTAGTAGTAGTAGTAGTAGTAGTAGTAGTAGTAGTAGTAGTAGTAGTAGTAGTAGTAGTAGTAGTAGTAGTAGTAGTAGTAGTAGTAGTAGTAGTAGTAGTAGTAGTAGTAGTAGTAGTAGTAGTAGTAGTAGTAGTAGTAGTAGTAGTAGTAGTAGTAGTAGTAGTAGTAGTAGTAGTAGTAGTAGTAGTAGTAGTAGTAGTAGTAGTAGTAGTAGTAGTAGTAGTAGTAGTAGTAGTAGTAGTAGTAGTAGTAGTAGTAGTAGTAGTAGTAGTAGTAGTAGTAGTAGTAGTAGTAGTAGTAGTAGTAGTAGTAGTAGTAGTAGTAGTAGTAGTAGTAGTAGTAGTAGTAGTAGTAGTAGTAGTAGTAGTAGTAGTAGTAGTAGTAGTCGTATTGTTATTATTATTATTATCATTATAGACGCCTCGCGTAACCCCACCAGCCCATCCAGAAACGATGCCCGGAGGACTTGCCTCGAGCAAGGAAATGGGCAGCACACAGAGGAAGGGTCGCCCAGTGGAGGCCTCTTGGAGCGTCTTGGGTGCCTCGGAAAGCTTCTTGGGCACTCTTGGGGGTCTCTGGGAAACATTTTGGAGGCCTCTTGGACGCCTCTTGGGGCCTCCTGGGCGCCTCTTGGGGCCCTGTTGAAACGCTCTTGGGAGCCTTGGGAGCGCTCTTGGGGCCATCTTGGAGGACATCGATCAAACAAGAACCGAGCATTAGTTAGCATTGCCCCTCGGAAGCCCAACACATCGCCTCCTGGGGCGCTCTTGGGGCGCTCTTGGAGCGCTCTTAGGCGCTCTTGGGGCCGTCTTGGGGCTCTCTTGAGCCTCTCTTGGGGCCCTCTTGGGCCATCTTGGAGCCATCTTGAGGCCTCGGATGGCCATCGGCAGCGAAAAGACGAGAAAGCCAAACACACACATGTTTTCCTAAGGGTTTGGCCTCTTCGGGGCCTCCTGGGGGAGCTCTTTGGCCACTTGGAGCCGTCCTGGAGCGGTCTTGGGGCATCTTGGAACATCGTGGGGGCCATTATGAGACATCGTGGGATATCTTGAGCCATCTTGGAGGTCATCTTGGGCTTTCCCAGGCGCTCTTGGAGTCATCTTAATCAGTGCCCCCCCCCCAGGGGCCAACATGTGACCAACACTGTAGTACAATCAATGATTTGGCCTTCTCGCCCGGGCCTCTTGGAGCATCTTGGGTGCCTCTGGGGGTCTCTTGGGGCCTCTTGGGGGTCTCTTGGTAGCCTCTTGGGGGCATCCTAGGGGGCCTCTTGGGGCTTCCTGGCCACCTCTTGGGGCCCTCTTGGGGAACCCTTGGGAGCCTTGGGGGCAATTTTTGTGCCATCTTGGGCGAGATCGATCACAGGAGGGGGGGTCCCTAATTAGGCACCCCCCTTTCAGGAGGCCAAAATGAGGCCAACACCTTAGTAACACCACTGATTTTGGTTTCCTCGCCGAGGTCGTTTTGGACGCTCCAACGCGTCGCGGAACCCCCCGTCCAGATCCAGGGGAGGGGGTAGGGGGAGAGGGCAATTTAGCCAGCTCGGACGAGCCAGAGGGCTCCGTCCACTCCCACCCGCCCTCCCACAACATAAGAAGCAAATGCGTCGCGTCCGACGCCTGTCGCTCATCTTATATCGTGGGCGGCTTGACGTTCAGCGCGCGACATGAGCTGCGTCCTATTCCTGCCGCGTATTGAGCAACGTCGACGAGAAACACAACCGCGCGCGATGTACGCCGCGCCCAGCTCCTCAACCCGACGGACCGCAGCGTCGACGACAAGAAAGTCCACGTTGACGAGCAACCGTCCCCGCGCGATGTGCGCCGCGTCTCATTCCCGCTACGCGATTCGCAGCGCCGACGAGGAGAAAGTACCGGTTGGCAAAAACAACGTCGACGTTGCTGTGTTTTTTGGCAGGTACGGCGGGGGGTCCCGCGTAGGGTTGGCCAGGCGTCCGCGCGCGATGTGTGCCGCGTAAACGTTGACATTGTATTGCTTTTTGATAGGTAGGACGCGACCACCCGCTTAGGGTTACCCAAGCGATTTTAATTCCGTCATATTCTTGCTACATTTTTCGCAGCGTCGACGACAGGACAGTCCATGTTGTCGAGAAAACGTTGGCTTTGAATTGTTTTTGATTAGGGGGGGGCGCGACCGCCCGCTTAGGGTTACACATGCAATGTTCATACCGTCTTATTTCGGCTACACTTTTCGCAACTCGACGACATGTTGGCGAGAGAAATTTGAGTTGGTATTGTTGTTTTGCAGTTCGGACGGCGGGGTTGCGATCAGGGGGGGGGAAGGGGGCCGCCTGCAGGAGGAGGAGGAGGAGGAGGAGGAGGAGGAGGAGGAGGAGGAGGAGGAGACCGTGCGGTGAGATCGTTGGGGATTTCGAGGTCACCGAACGGTCTGTCACCGCACCTCTCTGGGAGACCCCCGAGTGGTGGCGGATGTGTGTCGGTGCCTCTCCGTGCATGAAGGCGACCCCGAGCCTGCCCCCGGGCTACTGCGAGGAGGGCTTCGACGACTGGCAGGCGAACTGGAGCGCCGCCAAGAAGGACTTCTGCTGCAAGAACGAGGACGCCAGGGGTCAGAGGAGGAAAAGGTACCCATGCCGCTACCCTTTGCCCGTTCTCCCCTTTCTAGGCCTCCTGGGAGGCCCTCGTCGCCACCGCTGGATTCGCCTCGAAATCCTCGTCAGAACGCAACCCCAGGAAAAGTCGTGGGAGTAGCGGTATCGGTACCTTTCGTTCTCCCCAACCAGGGGTTGGAGCCGGCTGGGGGCCAGTTGTGGCCCAGCACAGGTTGCGGTCAGCAGGAAGGGGGGGCAGGTGCGAGGGTTCGGGTCAGAGTTTTCCCTCCCATATCTTGAGATGGGATTCTTGTTGTTCCCCACATCCTAGGATGGGGATGCTGTTGTTAATCAGACCGCGCCGAGTCCCTCCATCTCGTCTCACCATCCTCCTCCTCCTCCTGCTCCTCGTTCTCACTCAGCCTCACTCAGGTTCACTTAGACTGACTACTCAGACTCACTCCTGCTCAGACTCACTCATACTCACTCAAACTCATACTCACTCACACTCAAACTTCCTCAGACTCATTCACTCATACCCAGACTTCTTTATACTCAGACTCATACTCAGGTTCCCTCACACTCTTATTCACTCACACTCAGACTCAACTACAGTCAGGCTCACTCATTCTCACACTCACTCATATTCAGACGAACTCGGGGGGGCGCCATTGGTGGGGACACTCCAGGATTCGCGCCCAGATTGTGGGGACGTCTCAGGCGGTTTGCCTGTCTCGGACCGCAACATCCTTTCTGCTTTCGGAGCAGATTCCGAGGATGTCTCAGGCGAGGCGCTGGTTTCGGCACTCCTAAGTGGGGGCGTCAGGGGTGGGGACACTCCTGGCTTCGCGCCAGGATTGTGGGGACATCTCAGGCGGCTTGCCTGCCTCGGAGCGTGCCATCCTTGTGTCCAGATTGTGGGGATGTGTCAGGCGGTTTGCCTGTTTTGGTGCCCAAGATGCTGTGCTGTCGGAGCAGGTTCTGAGGATGTCTCAGGCGAGGCGCTGGCTTCAGCACTCCTAAAGGGGGGGTGCAAGGGGTGGGGACACTCTGGGATTCGCGCCCAGAGTGTGGGGATGTCTCCGGCCGCTTGCCTGATTGCTCGCCCAACATCCTCTGCTCTCGGAGCAGACGGTGAGGATTTCTCAGGCCGTCAGGGGTGGGGGTACTCCAGGATTCGCGCCCAGGCGAGGATCTCCAACGTGCGCCCGTTGTCGCTTCTGTTCCCCCCCCCTCCCACAGCAGCGATGGCCAGACCGGTGCCACTCCTTGGAAGGGGCCGCTTCTGTGCCCCCCTCATTACCCATCGGTCGTTGAGAGTAGGTATTCTTGGAGTCCCAGATTCCAATCTACTTTAGGCGCCTGCCTACTTCAATAATGGAGTGGCTTCACTTTTCCGTCCTCTTTAGGGGGCGGGCGGACACCCACTCTATTTTCAATGCCTTCCTACTTCATGTTTCTACCTACTTCTTCCGACCGATGGGTAGGGAGCTCCCACCATCGCCAGTCCTGAGCAGGAGGAGCGCCGGGAGGCGCTGTTTTCAGCACTCCTAAGGGGGGCGCCAGCCAGATGGAAGTGGGTCACGGCGGCGCCCGTGATTTGAACCGGCATCGGAGGGGTGGGGGGGTTGTGAGGGGGGGGAGGAGGAGCAGGAGGAGTGAGGCGGAGGAGGAGGAGGAGGAGGAGGAGCAGGAGGAGGAGGGGGAGGAAGGGAGGGAGGGAGGGAGGCGGGACGAGGGGTTGCAGAAGCGAGAGCCGTTTCGATTCAGGCAAAGCGTTGTGGAGCACAACCCATCTTCCAGATTGAAGGCCCTTCCATCTGCTGTTAGTTTTGATTTTGCTTCAAAGTCTTTTGATTACACATTTCGCTTTTTTTTGTGTGTGTAATTTTTCTTCCGAAGCCCGCCTGTGGGAGGAAATGTCCGACCTCACCCTAGACGGCCCAAGAAATCGCTACACATCGCCCACGAGGCTTCAGAGGCCTCCGAGAGGTTCCGAGCACGGCCAGAACAGCATCCCCGCCGGTGCCTGGCACGGCGGGCGAGACCGGAGAGGGACGCGGAGATGCAGAGGGGTCTGCAAGTCCCTGCCATTGCCACTGGTGAGAGGGAAGCTGGAGCTCGGCGCGCAGAAGCTCCCACGGCGAAACTCTGCGGTGAGCGCACTGCCAGTTCGTCTTTGGCGCCGCAGAAGGCCCCGTGGGCCCCCTGGGCGCGCCCAAGACGGCCCAAGAGGGCGCCCAAAGGGAGGCCAGACGAGTCTAGATGGCTCCAAGAAGCCTTGCGGACGGCGGGAGATGGCCGGAAGATCGCCCCGAGCGGCTTGAGGAGCCTCAGAAGAGTGTCAGAAGAGGCTCCAAGAGAGCTTCCTCTCCCAAAGGCGCATTGCAAGCCCGAAGTGACGAACCTCATTGAACGTCTTCCAGGTGTTTTTCCCATACTCGCGCGCACATGTCCGAAACATGTCTTCCTCTATGTAGTGGGTCGTATGTCCCCCGCGGCGAATCTAGGCCATCCGCGAATAGTGGAACGCGCATGTCTCATTGAAAATCCGTCAGGCTTTGGAATTTTTCTCTCCATATCCTAAGATGGGTATCTTGATATCACTCAAACCGCGCCGATTCCCTCTACCTCTTCTCACCCACCCCTCCTCCTGCTCCTCTCTCTCACTCAGCCTCATCTGAATTCAATCATAATCATTCAGACTCACTCATGCTCAGACTCACTCATACTGAGACTCACGCATGCTCACTCGCACTCACAGTTATGCGCAGAGTCACTCATGCTCAGACTCACTCATACGCAACTTCTCCCATACTCAGGCTCACTCATGCCCAGACTCACTTACTCTCCCGTTCGCTCACGCTCAGACTCACATTCAGATTTACTTCCAGACGCACTGATACGCAGACTATCTTACAGTCATACTCTCTTCATACTCCCATCCACTCATACACATTTGTGGCCTGCTTGTGGCCCGGGCCCAGGCGCCAGTTCGGCAAGGATGGAGGTGCTGTTGGCTGCGCCCCGATCGAAACAAGTCAACTTGGCTTTCCAAGGCCTTTGCATCGTTACCGCGCATCCTTAGTAGATGGTTTTCTCTTTTCATAATCATTCACGCACAGATTGTGAGGATGTCTCAGGTGAGGCGCTGGTCTCATCACTCCAAGGGGGTGCCGCCAGGGGGTATTGCACGGGCCCGTTTGCGTCCAGATTGTGGGGATGGGTCAGGCGGTTTGCCTGTTTTGGTGCCCAAGATGCTGTGCTGTCGGAACAGACTGTGAGGATGTCTCAGGCGAGGCGTTGGTTTCAGTACTCCAAGGAGCCGCCAAGGGGTACTGCACTGGCCCGTTTGCGTCAAGATTGTGGGGATGTCTCCGGCTGTTTGCTTGCTTGGGTGCCCAACATCCTAACATCCTTTGCTTTCATAGAAGATTGTGAGGATATCTCAGTCGAGGCGCTGGTCTGAGCACGTCAAGGAGGAACCGGCAAGATGTATTGCACGGACCCGTTCGCGCCCACATTGTTGGGGTGTCTTGTGCGGTTCGCCTTTTTTCCGGGCCCTGAAGGCTTGTCTTTGGTTTTGTGTTACCTAGACGCCCCTGGACCTCACTTGCTCACTCACCTCCCCCTCTTCCCCACTCTGACGCATTCGCATTCAGACTCACTCATCAGCACCATGTCCTCGCCTAGACTCACTCATCAGGCTCAGACTCAACCATACTCATATTCACTCTTTCCCAAACTCGCTCATACTGAGACTCGCTCGCATCTAGACTTTCTCACGCAGGCTCAATCGCACTTGGACCAACTCACACTCGGACTTACTCACACTCACATTCACCCACCCTCACATCCACTCATGCATTCAGACTTACTCATACTCGTCATGCTCATACTCATGCCGCTCGCACTTAGACATACTCACACTCACACTCTTTCACACCCACTCGTAGTCAGACTCCCCCACTCGTAGTCGGACTACCTCGTATTCAGACCCACCCACACTCAGACGCACACTCATCAGCCCCTTCTCAGACCCACTCACAACCAGATTTACCCACACTCAGACTCACCTTCACACAGACTCAATCTTGTTCAGACTTTTACATACTCAGGCTCACTTGTGCTTAGACTCTCTCATGCCGAGGACCACTTGCTCTCTTACTCAACCATGCCCAGGTTCACTCACACTCAGACTCAATTGCACTCAGATCACTCACGCTCAGATTCACTCAGCCTTATCTCTTTTGGTGGTCCCATGATTCCTCGCTCTTCCACTTGTGCTTCCCCCGTCTCTCCGGAAAGATGCCCAGCGGAGGTTGATGACGTTACTGAAGTCGTCGCTGTCGCCGACGTTGTTGTCGCGCCCGTCGTCTACGCTGACTCGCTGTCACACCCAGATGTTGAACAGGCAGAGTTATTCAGCGAGACATGGCAGGAGTATGACATGCATATACTGCTCTGGACCGTAGCAGTTTTTGCTTCCGGGTCAATTCGTGAGCACGTCTCAGGCGAGGCGCTGGTTTCAGCAGTCCCGATGGAGGAGCCGCCAGGGGTGGGGACACTCCAGGGTTCGTGCCCAGACTGTGCGGACGTCTCAGGATGTTTTCCTGTCCGACCAATGTGTGAAGATGTCTCAGGCGAGGTGTTGGTGAGGGACCGCCACGGGGGTATGCCACGGGCCCGTTCGGGCCCAGCTTTTCGTCACCCATCACGTTCCGATCCAACCATATTCAGACTCAGTCATGCCCAGGCGCACTTGTACTTAGGCTCACTCACATTCAGATTCGCGCGCACTCAGGCTCGCTCACACTTAGACCACCGCGCACTCGGATGTACTCTCAGTCAGGTTTGCCAACCCTCAGGCTCACTCATACGCACACTCACTTATACTGAGACCCGCTCATAGTCAGACTCATCGCCATCATACTTATACTCGGACCCACTCACACTCGGATTTACTCACATTCAGACTCACTCACACTCAGACTCACTCATACTTAGAACAGATCACACTCAGACTCACTCGCACTTAGGCTCACTCATGCTCAGACTCCGACTCGTCAATCATATTCACACCCACTCGCACTCATACTTGCTCACGCTCAGACTTGCTCACACTCAGGCTCACTCACACTCAGGCCCTCTCATACTCAGACTCCCTCATACTCATATTCTCTCATACCTAGGCTCATTCGCATTCAAACTCAATCATTCATGGGCTCGCTCGCATTCAGACTCATTCATGCTCACACTCAGATTGCTCACACCTCCTCACCTCCCTCCTCCTCTTCCTCCCTCACGCCCAGACTCACTCACATCTAGTCTCACTCATACTCATACTCGCTATTACTCAGGCGCTCTCATACTCAGTCCCGCTCACACTCAGACTCACTCACGAAGAGACTCACTCACACTCAGACTCACTCATACCCAGATTCACTTCTCAGACTCACGCGCGCGCACTCAGACTCACTCGCACTCAGACTCACTCGCACTCCAACTCACACATACTCAGACTCCGACTGGTCAAACTCATACTCAGACCCAGTCATGCCCAGACTTGCTCACACTCAGACTCACTCACACTCAGACTCACTCGTACTCAGACCCACTCATGCTCACCCGTATCCAGACTGTGCCATACCTAGGCTCGCTCACACTCAAATTCACTCTGCCATACTCAGACTCTCTCATGCCCAGGCGCACTCGTGTTTAGACTCACTCACGCTCAGATTCGCTCGCACTCTGGCTCGCTCACACTCAGACCACCTCACACTCGGATATAATCTCATTCAGATTCGCCAACCCTCGGGCTCACTGATACGCAAAGTCACTCGTACTTACACTCACTCATGTTCAGACTCATACCCCTCGTAGTCGTACGCAGACTCACTCACACTCGGACTCACTCACACTCAAAATCGCTCATCCTCAGACTCACTCACACTCAGACTCACGCACAGTCAGACTTACTCACACTCACACTCCTACTCATGCTCAGATTTTCTTGGCTTGGATTTACTCACATTCAGACTTGCCCACAGTCGTATTCACTTACACTCAGGCCCACGCATGCGAATACTCACTAGTACTCAGGTTCTCTCATACAAGACTCGCTCGCACTCGAACAACACATTCCTGGGCTCACTCACATTCATATTCACTCACACTCCAATCTCTCACACTCAGATCGCTAACACCTCCTCACCTTCTTCCTCCTCTTCTTCCCTCACACTCAGACTCAGTTTCGGACTCACTCGTACTCAGACTCACTCACACTCAGACCCACTCACGCTCAGACCCACTCATGAATAGGCTCGCTAGCGCTCAGACTCATTCACGCTCAGGTTCGCTCATACTCGGACTCATTCGTACTCAGATTCATTCCCTCGTACTCGCACGCAGAGTCACTTACATTCGGACTTCCTCACAGTCAGATCACTCAAGCTCAGACTCACTCACAGTCTTTTCTATTTTGATTTGTCAATGCCCCATCGCTCTTCACCTGTGTTTCGCTCATTTGTCTTGCAAGCCATGCGTCGGAGGGAGGACGATGCCGTCAATGAAGTCGCCACAATCGTCGTCATTGTCGTCGCGCCCGTCGTCTGCGCGGACTCGCTCTCACACCCAGATGCTCGCAGACGGACTTCCTAAGCGAGACGTGGCAGGAGCATGAGATGCACATGTGGGGATCTTCGCGTCGAACAGGTTCTGTTTTTTGTTTTCTGTTTTTTTGTCTGTCTCGGCCTCAGGGGGCCGTCTTCGGGCCGCGGAACCGTCAGAAACGGATCCGGGGCGGACGGCTGCACCCGGTGGGCCCCGGGAGCGGTCCGGGGATCGATTCTGAGCGGATTTGGCCTCGCCCCCCTCCTGACCGAAATCCTGTGGCCCAAGCCAGCACAGTACAGTGCCATTTTTAATACATGCTCCGCGCTCGGATCATGCATTACGCATGCAGGGATTTTAATGTTAAAAGCAACGGGGAGTTCACGCATGCACTTTATTCATACATTAACCATGTATCAAGCATCCGATATGTTTAAACATCCTATGTCTTAAAACATGCCCTGTGCAGACCTCTTGGCCGCCGTCAAGCCAGGGGCAACGCTTTGGGGGGGGCCAGGCTCACGCGGCCCCCCCCCCTGGGCGGGGGGGGGGGAGCTGGGCGCGAAGTGATGGGAGGCGATCAAGGAGGAGAGGAGGAGGAAGGAGGAGGAGGAGGAGGAGGAGGAGGAGGAGGAGGAGGAGGGAGGAGGAGGAGGAGGAGGGGAGGAGGAGGAGGAGGAGGGGAGGAGGAGGAGGAGGGGAGGAGGAGGAGGGGGAGGATGAGGAGGAGGAGGAGGGAGGAGGGGAGGAGGGGAGGAGGAGGAGGAGGAGGAGGAGGATGAGGAGGAGGAGGAGAGGAGGAGGAGAGGAGGAGGAGGAGGAGGAGGAGGAGGAGGAGGAGGAGGAGGAGGAGGAGGAGGAGGAGGAGGAGGAGGAGGAGGAGGAGGAGGAGGAGGAGGAGGAGGAGGAGGAGGAGGAGGAGGAGGAGGAGGAGGAGGAGGAGGGGAGGAGGAGGAGGAGGAGGAGGAGGAGAGGAGGAGGAGGAGGAGGAGGAGGGAGGAGGAGGAGGAGGAGGAGGAGGAGGAGGAGGAGGAGGAGGAGGAGGAGGAGGGAGGAGGAGGAGGAGGAGGGGGGAGGAGGGAGGAGGGGAGGAGGAGGAGGAGGAGGAGGAGGAGGAGGAGGAGGAGGAGGCAGCCACCCCCAGTCGCCCATTCCTCGCCTGCAAGGGGGCCGGACGGCCCACCGCGCCCGCGGAGCCTGCGGCCTCGCCGTCGGGGTGTCCCCTCGTCGATCCATCGGCGACGGGTCGCCGATCCAAGCCAACCCCCCCTGACGCTCCTCCTCCTCCTCCTCCTCCTCCTCCTCCTCCTCCCTCCTCCTCTTTCTCCGCCTCCCTCCTCCCCCTCCTCCTCCCCCCCTCCTCCTCCTCCTCCCTCCTCCTCCTCCTCCTCCTCCTCCTCCTCCTCCTCCTCCTCCTCCTCCTCCTCCTCCTCCTCCTCCTCCTCCCTCCTCTTTCTCCGCCTCCCTCCGTCCCCCTCCTCCTCCTCCTCCTCCTCCTCCTCCTCCTCCTCCTCCTCCTCCTCCTCCTCCTCCCTCCTCCTCGTCGCCTCTCCGCGCTCGCCCCCTCAGGACAGGGGCTGCCCGCCGGGCGGCGGCGGCGGCGAGAACGCCACCTCGGCGGGGCCCTCGACGGCCACGACCACCCACGAGCCCGAGGCCGGAGGGCGCCACCCAGAAAGGGGAGCAAACCAAACAGACACCACGAACCGTCGACCCTCCGGAAAAGTATGGGGAGAGGTGGAACGCGGGGGGGACACGAAGACCCAGAAGATGTGGGACAATGTTGGGCCTCCTGGGATTTTTGGCTCTGTTCCTTTCTGTGGCCCTGGGCCCCTTTCATCTGCACCCCTTTCACCAGTCCCGGGACGATCCTGTGCCCAGGATCGGCGTGTGCGTGTGTGTGTGTGTGTGTGTGTGTGTGTGTGTGTGTGTGGGTGCCTCCCTGCCCAAGCCAGGAGGACGCACGCACCGACCGTGGGCCCAGGACAAGCTGCGCTGTCAGGGTCGGTGTAACAGGAGCGAGAGCAGGACGTACACAGGTTGGGCACGTCCCCCTACAGGAGGACTATTCAAAATAGTTAAGAATAGTCTCGGGACGATTTTTTTAAGTCATATGTTTGATAATTTTTGTGTTCGTTCAAAATCCGCTTGTAGGGGGACATGCCCGACCTACACGTACACGTACATGAATCCACGTTGGTCTCGAAAGTGCGCACTGCGCGAGCGTTCGTATCAGGCGGCCAGTCTCGCGGACTGGGGGGACCGTGTTCATGTACTCTAGGCCTCCTAGAAGGGATCGGAGTAGATGGGGTCGGAGGATCGTGCCACATCGGCGATGCATCGGCGATGCATCGGCGATGCATCGGCGATGCATCGGCGATGCGGCTCGATGTGGGGCCCAATCTTCTCCACGCCAACGTCGCCGATGCACCGCCGACGTCGCCAGAGCATCGCTGATGCATCGCCGATGCATGGGCGATACATCGCGCCGATGTATCGTCGATACGGCGAGATCCTCCGACCCCATCTACTCGGCCCCCATCTAGGAGGCCTCTAGGTACGCGGTTGGGCGCGTATGTGCTGTGGGCTCCCTAGTGTAGGTGTACCCTGAGATCCGACGTTGCGACAGTCTTGCATCATCGGGAACAAAACCACGACTGGAGACCTTCCCTTCCTGCGGCATTCTTTTCGAGCAAGATCGGTGTGTGATGGTCCTGGGGCCTGAAGCCGCGCGAAATCTTCCAGAGTCAGTATTCGGCTCCCTCTTGTGGGCGCGAATCAATGGTTGGGCGACAGATTGGTGGGGAAGCAGGGTGCCCTTCTGGGCCCGACGGGGCCCCTTTCCAGGGGCCCTGCTAGGGGACCCTCCTCGGCGGCCCTCGCCGACCCCCCACTCATCGCCCCCCCATCTATCGCCGCCCAGCCGTCACGAGGGACCCGGCACGACGGCGGAGCCGAGCTCCAACGAGAGCACCAGCGGAGCCCCCGAGCCGAACGCCACGGCGGGCGAGCCCACGGCGGGCGAGGGCCCCGCGGCGGGCGAGCCCACGGCCGGCGAGGCCATCTGCGCCACGAACTGCACGCTGGACGGCATGGCCTTCCCGTGCAGGGACCTCACCACCCTCCAAACCACCCCAACCCAACCCGAAGGCTCAGATTTACCCTCGATTTCCAGTTTGGGGGGTCGGGAAACATCGAAAAAACACATGTGGAACCCTTACCCCCCCAAACCCGAAATTCGGGTCTTCGGGTTGGGTTGGGGTGGTCTGGTAGGTAGTCAGGACCGCGTGCTGTGGGCCGCGGACCACGCGTTCGAGGGGGACGCCGACGCCTGCGACTCGGCGCACAGGCTCGCGGCACGCCGAGGGTCGGAGGAGGGCCAGTCGAGGCGGCGGCGGCCGGGCCCTGCGTCTCGGGCCGCCTCGTGGGGCCCTCCGGGAGGCTTCTCGTCGACACGGCTGGATCCGCAGGAGGAGGAGGAGGAGGAGAAAATTCATAATACAAATAATGATGATAAGAATAATGATAATAATAATGCTATAAGAAGAAGAACAATGATACTAAGACGAATAATCATAATACTATTAATACGAATACTGATACGAAGACTAAACTGTAGTAATACTAATAATGCTGTTAATACTACTAATAAGAAGAATACGAAGACTATTGAGAATAATACTAATGATATGTATAATACTAATAGTAAGAATAATAATGCGATTAACACTACTAATACGAGTAAGACTAATACTAATGACAATAAGAAGAAGACGACTACGAATAATACGAATATTAATAAAACTAGGACTAATACTACTAAGAAGAAGACTACTAGTAATAATAACAATAAGACGAAGCATACTACTACTACTACTACTACTACTACTAAGATTGATCATAATAATATTAAGAATACTACTGCGAAACATACAACTAATAGTAATAAAAACAATAATAATACGGAGGCTGCTAATAACAAGAAGACTACTCGCAATACTACTTACTTATAATACACTAATAGCAAGAAACATATTCGCAATGATAATACTACTACTGACAACAATATTATTACTAATACTAATAATAATACTAGTAATAATAGTACTACTAATAAAAAGAGGACTACGAATAGTAAAACTAATAATACGACTAATGAGAACACTAATACGAATCATATTAGTACTAATAATAAGACGAAGAAAGAGACGACACGTAAGAAGACGAAGAGGAGGAGGACGAGGAGGGGGGGGGGAGGAGGAAGAGGCGGAGGAGGATGAGGAGGAGAAGGAGGAGGGAGGAGGAACAGGAGGAGGAGGAGGAAGAGGCGGAGGAGGAAGAGGAGGAGGAGGAGGAGGAGGAGGAGGAAGAGGAGGAAGGAAAAGGGGCAGGAAAAGGGACAGGAAAAGGGACAGGAAGGGGGAGGAACCGCATGGGAACGAGACACAGTGTGATCCCCTCCTCGTCTAGACCCAAGCATCACACGGATGCGTTGTTTCCAATCCGAGGGCCACAGAAGTTTTGATTATTTCCCTGGGAGCAGTTTTTGTTGTTTCGGATAGTTTTTTTAGTTATAGTCCTTGGGCGAGAAACAAGTGGCACGTGTGCCATGGCTCTTGCATAAAA